GTTATAAATGAAATAAAACAACAAAAAACAATAAAATAACAAAAAACAATAAAATACATCAGTTGAAAAAACATTGAAATACAGAAGAAATTATCAAAACAAGAGATAACATAATGAATAACCTGGCTCTTCCAATTGTTTGTGTTGTATTAATATTTCAAATGGTCTATCACATATATGTAGTGAAAAAGAATGCTTAAATATGATTAATTTATGATTTATGGGCAAAAAATGTGAATTTTATGACCTTATTTGCATAAATTGCCATAAATATGCAATAGCCCAGTTAAAATAGGGTTAACACTTCTCAATGACTTTCTTATTCCTATCTTTCTTTTATTTTATATGCTCCACTTTCTTTTGCTTTCTCCTTCTGTAACCATTATTTTCATGTCTTCCTCTCTCTCTTTTTTTCTCTCTCCCTCCTTCCTTCCTTCCTCTCTCTCTCTCTCTCTCTCTCTCTCCTCTCTCTCTCTCTCCCCTCCTTCCTCTCCCTCTCTCCCTCCATCCTCTCGCTCTCTGTCTCTGTCTCTCTCTCTCTCTCAACAAATGTCTTATTTATTAACCACTATTTTCACTACAATACATACATATAGATAATATATAGATAATGTAGAATAGGGCTGGGACTTTTATCATGCTATTAAACTCAAAATACTTGGTAAAGAAGTTTTACAAAATATTGATCATAGTATATTGGGGGGGGGGGTAGGGGATAAGGGTAGGTGCTAAGTGCTCCCAATGCACACCCCCCCCCCCTCCACTGGCACTGCTGCAGCAGATTAGACATGCTCATACACACTTATTCAAACTGTATATTGATTGAAGATCTTTCATATTTGCTCATTTTCATATTCTTTATTAAAGGAAAAGCCTTATCTCACAGAATGTCACAGTCAGAGTGATCTTTTTAACATATTCTGTTTATATTGTCTGTTTGGGGCAAGATGGGCTTTAACTCGTATTATAAAATGATAACGTGGATCCTAATCAAATGATTGGTTGAAAGCATACACGTGACCATGCATTTATTTTGCCTAACGCAAAATTTGGATAACTACCGGTCATTGGCGATCATGTTTTGCGATTGTAACCATCAAGATTTCATTGCTTTACTTTTACTCGCGAAAATGGCTGCCACGGAATTTAAAACGCCTACGTTTGAAATGCTTTCGACTGAAGAAATGAGGGTGAAGATGAGGGTGATTTGTCAAATAACAAGGATCCACGTCATAATTATATAAAACAAATAATACACAGCATTTTGTTCGGGCATTAGTAAAATTACCCACGCTCGGTACCTTGTGTGGGTAATTCTTACTAATGCCCTCACTGCAGTGCATTATTTGTATATTATCTTTTATATCCCTTCAATGAATATTCATGAGTTTTCTGAATACATGATTGGTCAATTAGTGGTCATGTGATAAAATATAATTTCACTATTTGAAACAAATCTCTGCCAGAGCTCCGAATATTTTCCACTATTTTTTCATGGGCAGAATTGCGCATGCTCTATGAGATTTTCAGGTAGAAAAGCATTGTGACGTCACATCGTGTTCAGTTAAAAATAATGCGCAATTAGCGCGTCTCATTAAATGCGCGTTAATATAATTGTGCGCAGGTTAAATTGACAAATTCAAACTGATTATAAACTTCTCCAATATACCCGGTCCAATGTGGGTGACATAAGAATAAAGTTAAAAACCATAATGCCAGCCAATCATTAATCAAACGTTCGGATCGTAACGAAGTGATATAAAACAAATATACCAAGCATTTAGTTCGTAAGAATAGTGGAAATTATATATCTTCGGAGGGACTGCAATAGTTGCTATTTTATCCTCGGGGCTTTGCCCCTCGGAAAAAATAGTACTTTACCAGTCCCTCCTCACTCCTCAGATAAATAATTTCCACTATTCTTTCTCACAGCTTCGTATAATTGTATAATATACAGTTAATGCTCTTCTGACTCTAATACCCTTTTCACATCTACCAAATATTGCTTAACCCCGGGAAATAGGTGGGGCTAAGGGGGCTCTTAGCCCCACCAATTCCTTCCTTAGCCCCACCAATTACCCGGGGTAATTTTAGCCGGCTTTCTGTTCACATTACGTTTTGCCAAAGTGGGCTAACCCCACAAATAGTACAGGACTATCTGGCCCTGCAAAATAGCAGGGTTAGCCGGGCAGCGTTATTTTTTTATGCGGCACAGATTGGGGCTTTTTTTAAAAAGGGGTCTTGATTTACAGACTAATACTGGTCGTGTGCGTACTAGACGACAGTATAGTAGTAGAGGTCTGTTTTTAATAGTGTTACATTTAATCCACTACGGTACCGCATGGAAAATCATTACATCAACAATTAAAATCAAATTGGAAATCTGAAGAGGAGGCAGCACGTCAATAAGGAGAACATCACAATAATTAGTCAATAAAACTTAACTAAGAGGAATGTCATCTAAACACAGTTCGCGATGGATATACAAACTTATTCGCAGCGCTAATGCGCTAGCTATTAAAACATGACTAGTCTCACGTACGTGCAGACACTATTCAGAAGGGAAAGAACGTACTTCCCATAGGTTTAACACGCGCCATGCCCCAATCTGTGCCGCATAAAAAAATAACGCAGCCGGGCAATTGCGGGGTTAGCCGGGCAATTGTGGTGCTAAGCTGCGTAGTGTGAATCCGAACCGGGCTAAGGAGAAGCGGGGCTAAGCAACAGCCAATCACAGACAGCGTGGTCGTGTGGTCGTGAATTTGCATTTATCGCGCGCTATGCATGCAGTTCACGTTACGCATGCATGCAGTTCACGTTACGCATGCATGCTCTCTGTATTGACGTTTAGTCTTTTACGAGGCAGAGGTCATTATGAAAAAATCTTTATTATAAACTTGATTTAAAAAAATAGTGAAAGAACATGTAGCTCATAATTTTTTATTGCATTTATCATTATCAGTCATATTTACGTAGGTAAATTTATCAAGTGAATTGGATGAAAAATGGGTAATTGATTTGTATCGGTAAAATAATAAAGGGAAAACGCTTTGCGCAAGGCTGGATAACACAACACGAGCGAGCTAAAATTATTACGTACCGTACTGTATATTGTTGGTCTTTTTACCACAAGCAAAGAGTTCGTTGACCGATATTGATTATAGTTCAATTGAATTTATATTTATATTGAATTTAGCGCGCGGGTTTTTCCCCTTCATTTAGTCGAAAGGCGCATGCGCGGTAGCAAAAGCATTAATATTCATGAGCTATCGAATAGTCCGGGGCTAAGGCGAACGTAGTGTGAATCGCGTGAAATTTCTTAACCCCGGCTAAGCACATAGTCCGGGGTTAAGAAAATAGATGTGAACAGCAAAAAAAATAGTATGGGGTTAAGGATAGTATGGGGTTAAGGATAGTCCGGGGTTAAGAAAAATAGATGTGAAAAGGGTATAATACCCTTTTCACATCTACCAAATATTGCTTAACCCCGGGAAATAGGTGGGGCTAAGGGGGCTCTTAGCCCCACCAATTCCTTCCTTAGCCCCACCAATTACCCGGGGTAATTTTAGCCGGCTTTCTGTTCACATTACGTTTTGCCAAAGTGGGCTAACCCCACAAATAGTACGGGACTATCTGGCCCTGCAAAATAGCAGGGTTAGCCGGGCAATTGCGGGGTTAGCCGGGCAATTGTGGTGCTAAGCTGCGTAGTGTGAATCCGAACCGGGCTAAGGAGAAGCGGGGCTAAGCAACAGCCAATCACAGACAGCGTGGTCGTGTGGTCGTGAATTTGCATTTATCGCGCGCTATGCATGCAGTTCACGTTACGCATGCATGCAGTTCACGTTACGCATGCATGCTCTCTGTATTGACGTTTAGTCTTTTACGAGGCAGAGGTCATTATGAAAAAATCTTTATTATAAAATTGATTTAAAAAAATAGTGAAAGAACATGTAGCTCATAATTTTTTTATTGCATTTATCATTATCAGTCATATTTACGTAGGTAAATTTATCAAGTGAATTGGATGAAAAATGGGTAATTGATTTGTATCGGTAAAATAATAAAGGGAAAACGCTTTGCGCGGTAGCAAAAGCATTAATATTCATGAGCTATCGAATAGTCCGGGGCTAAGGCGAACGTAGTGTGAATCGCGTGAAATTTCTTAACCCCGGCTAAGCACATAGTCCGGGGTTAAGAAAATAGATGTGAACAGCAAAAAAAATAGTATGGGGTTAAGGATAGTATGGGGTTAAGGATAGTCCGGGGTTAAGAAAAATAGATGTGAAAAGGGTATAAATAGACAATACAAATAGATGGCACATACATATACAGTACCCCACTTCAAAAAATACAAGGGATTCTACGCCTCAGAATAGTGTACAAGATTGATGGTGCATTATTATGTATTATGTATTTTTTGTTATTATCAATATTTTCTGATAATGATAATAATAATAATAATAATAATAATAATAATAGTGTAAACTTATAGGTAAACTTATTTTTTGTTATTATGTTATTTTGTTATTATCAATATTTTCTGATAATGATAATAATAATAATAATAATAATAATAATAATAGTGTAAACTTATAGGCCCGAATTCACAAAGCAAGGTTTGAGCTCAAACCTCCTTTTGTTTCGCCAAACCTCCTTTTGTTCTTTACAAACCAGGTTTGTAAAAAACCGCGTAAAACGCGTCATATGACGTACGAAAACCAAGGTTTGTCAACAAACCTCCTTTGTGAATTCGGGCCATAGAGCGCACACACCGTCCAGGGATGCTCACGGCGCTAGCTCAGCAACAGTTCTCTTTGATACAAGTAAAGTAAATTAAAGATGAGTCATAACATATTTAAAGGGACTTGGTAACACTGTTCAGATGAGAAAAAATGGGACTAAGGTAGATACTTTAATGCTAGAGGTACAAATAAAGATAATCAGAAAGTTTGAGTGAAAACAGACCATTATTAATGACAAAATTGGGAGAAAAACTGATCTGATCGATTCCATAATTCTCCCAACTATATTATAAGAATCTAATTACATTTCAGGTGAATGCAATTAAATTTTAATAATCCTCACAAAGCAATGAATTGTCTCTATATACCATTCCAGACATTTTAGTGCTGACAGATTTTAAAAAGCCTGTCTTATGTCTTATTTTCATGGAAAAACGGTTGGGAAAATTCAAAAGTGGTCGGGAGAATTTACTGTTAGATGGTGTTGCACAGTGACGCCTTCAAAGAAAACCATAAATATTTGTGTGGCTTAAGAATTCTTTCAGGATTTTTTGCTTGTTAGAGGGTCAGTACAGTAGATGGAATATAATAAGTAACATTTCATACACAAATTATGCATTTTTTTTCATCAACCTTCAACAATGTTACTGAGTCACTTTAATTGAATTCACGACTCAATCGATCTTCTGGAGCTGTCTACAGTATTGCCATCTTTCAGAAGAAAAAAAAACAGGCATGTGAAGTCATAACTCAACCTCAGTTGGAAAGAGCAAAACCTAAAATGTAAAATGTAGCCAAGTCGACTTGGCTTCAGTTCTGATGCATTGTCCTTATCCGATTCCCAAATGGGTAGATGTTCATTAGCTTCTTTCTGTAGAGTGGCCCATACGACTTGAACAACCTCAAAATGTGACAACAGAACATGGCCACATTCGTTTGTAATATCCAAAATGGGTAGATTTAACTTCTTTCATGAGAGAAGTCATTGCGACTTGTAGTATTCTTTCAGAAACCAACCTGGCTGCAGTGATGTGGCCAAGTGTCGAATCTATTCTCCATATCCGATGCAAAAAAAATGGTGATTTTCTTTCACAAGAGGAGCCATTACGACTTGTAATACTCCTGCAAGTCTTCATCGATTGGTTTCAAGACTGTCCTATCAGAAAGGTTCACAAACCATCCAGGCTGAAGTCCAAAGAAAATTTGACGAGGATCTTTCCTCATCCGCAGCATCTCCCGCTTTGGATCACTCGTCAAATCGGGAAGTAGATAACCGTGCTTCTGCGCGAGATCAGCCCTTGCTTGGTGAACCTTGTCAGGGTCGGCTAGATACCCTCGATAACTAGCGTTGGCGTAGTACGTGACGAGGTCCTTCGGTGGGAGGGCGCGCCTCGGGATGGGCTTCCCCTGCTGAAAGAATTGGAGTGGGTAAGCGAGGGCGTCGAGGCTGATGGGGTCGTAGAATCCAGAGGTTACGATGCCTCCGCATTTCTCGATGGCTGCAATGGCTAGCTCCGATATATGCTGCACCTCGATGTTGATCTGAGCAGCAAAGTTATCCAAACCCTGAGTGGGAAGAATTGACAGCTTGAGTTAAAGGCATCGTTTAACAATGTTAAATCTGAGATGCACGGCCCTACATGTATGTGTTATCAGTGTCTGTGTGAACTGGTGTAATATTGAGGCCCTAAAAAAAGAATAGCGCTTCAAAATGATCAAGTGCCTCAAAAAAGTAAAAATCTTTGAGTGACCTGTTTTACATACTCGTTTCCCCCAATAGACTGTAGTGTTATGAAAACCGTTAGGCAAACGCAAAATTTGGTTTCGATTAATCTTGATAATCAGACAGGCGATCGGCTTGTAAAAGTCAGAATCTGAGACAAAGTTACCGGATCCCTTTAAAGTATCACTGCCCAAATGCGATTGGTCACTTGTCTCGTACCTCAGCTAAACCAACTCCAAACCGAGTAAAAACTTAACGTTTCTTGGCCATGCATGGTAATTTCATTTTATATTTAGTCTATTTTTGGTTTGATGTCAGTCTTGTTGATATGACTTATGCACAGGTATCAATACTCTTTAACAATGATTAAAATAAAAATTGAATGGGCTACAAAATTAGATGAAAACAAAAAGAAAAAATTTGTTCATCAGACATTGGCAATCTGTGGCATTATGAATGAAGAAAACATGTAGGAGGTTTTTTGGTTGAAAGTTATGTATGAGTTATCTACCATCTCTTCACCCATACCGGTACTTCTCATTTTATCCTGCTTTTTGAATCTGCTATTTTTTTAAACTCTCATTTTGATAGTTACATGTACTACAAATTTCTTAATCATGGGTAGAAAATCCATGAACTAGGACAGTTTAAGCAATTCCATCCACTCTAATTTAGAAACTGGTAGAAGGCTTTAATATATCTTGATGCCTAATAAAAGGCCATGATGATACTGAAAAAGGCTGTTCATGCACCCCCCCCCCCCCCATGATCTAACACTATGATTATGACAGACAAAGAAAGCGGACAAAATATACAGTTCCTCAGGTAGACAAAGGAACATCCCTTCACTGCTATTATGTAAAAATGTGTAGAACAGGTGTCACATATATTCACCTGTTCTACACATTTTTACATAATAGCAGTGAAGGGATGTTCCTTTGTCTACCTGAGGAACTGTATATTTTGTCCGTTTTCTTTGTCTGTCATATTCATAGTGTAATCTTATGATTTAAACAGCAAATACAAATAATAGTAATACGGGTATTAAAAAATGTTGTTAGATAAAATCTATTAATGATGAAATTGAAAGTAGACCCTCAAACACTGCCCCCTATGAGAACAAGACGCATGACTTACTTCTTCAATCAGGTTGATGCCATACTGTTTCTCCATGATCTTGATTTCAAAGGCTCCTGAATTGACCAAGGACGTCGCGTCGATAGGCTGATCAGGGTCGATACGACCCATGTCAATCAGATGTTGAAGCTTTGTCAGCGTGACGGGCACGTACTGTCTACGAAGACTGCAGTCAGGGGGGAGAGGCAAAAAAAGAGGAAAGATTAGACGGTGTCACCAGTGTACTGGGAATTTAAAGGGGATGTGGGTTCAAACCTCAGCCAAGGTCTGCCCTGTCCCAGACATGATAGTCACCTGTAAGCCATGAAAAAAATACATGGGGGCTCGGGGCGAATTAGCCCCCGAAATGCCCAAAAGAGCTCCCGGAAGTTATAACAGAGCCCCCAAAAATCTGCCTAGAGTTTAATGCAAAACAAATTGAAGAGTGTTATTTTCATGCAAGCAAGCTTGAAAAGTAGCCCCCGAAATGTTTAAAGTATTTTTTTCCCTGCCTGTAAGCAACTCAGTCAGCGAGTACAGCATACAGTGTATTTCCCTAATCAATGTGAAACAGTAGTGGTGCTATGATCTAACCCTGTGTCACTGTAGTTGGAATGAAACTGAGAATGATGTTGAGCCAGAGAAGGGGATGTATACTATGGGGAGTGCAAGATTTAACAAAAAGGAAACATATCTATGGATATAAATGATCCATTCAACCTTAAAGTTATAGAGATTCACACATTTTGAGCACTAATTTTTTTTTGGGGGGTGGGGGGGGGGGGGGGCAAGTGCCCCCTGTGCCCCCCCCCCCCCTTCTGGATCCGTCCCTGTTACCATATGAGCACAGAGTGAACAAGAACAAGAAAAAGAACTTAATAGGGCATAGGGGAAAATAGAACGTTGACTCTGGGCCCTACTTCATAAAACTTGTTTTCAATTTCAAATTACGATATTTGTTATAAGCTACTGAAATTCTCGCATTGGATTGGATATAGGATTTGGATATGAGCAGCTTTTTCATAAATCTGTGGCAGTTGATATTGATAGCCTAGCTTCATGATAACTCTGTTCAAAATGATGATAAACAAACATATCAGTTGCACCAAGAAAGTGTTTTTTTAATTATTTGTTGTATTTCATAGAAATCCCAAATAGAGCTTTTGTGAATAACAAATTAATCTTTTGCATTAAAATGATAAAGAAAATTCAGGGAATGATACATGTATAGTACATACAATACAGAGGAACCTCATTATAATGAGGTCCTTGTGACCAAGGAAATTACCTTGTTATATCAGGAATCTTGTTATGTCAGGGTAAAACAACAAAAGAATACAGAGAGTTAAGAGTCTTAGGACCAGCAAAATATCTTTATATTTTGTTTTGTGTATGCACCAGCCAATGTGGAGAGCCCCTCGACAGAATTTTTAAATTCTTTTCGGTGATTCCCAGGCATTGGCTGGTGCTAAATATTATTATGTTAATGTTATATGATTTTGTCTACCTTGTGATGTTTTGTATGTATTGTTATCATCTTGCCTGGAAATAAAACGAATACAAATAAATACAAAATAAATAAAATCACCTTGTTATGATAAATATCTTGTTACATCAGAGGTCTGTATAATGAGGTGTCACTGCACTCGTATATCAACAGTACAAAATAAATAAAATCACCTTGTTATGATAAATATCTTGTTACATCAGAGGTCTGTATAATGAGGTGTCACTGCACTAGTATATCAATAGTTCAACACCAACACACACAAAAGGAAAAAGAACCGAGAACAAGATCATCACCAAAATATAATATTGATATTAAAAGGAGATGTGACTTACTGGTGGTCTTTGTAGTAAGGGTACTTGGGTACTCTGAGATAGAATGGTGTCTGACCCCCTTCAAATCCAACTCTTGGTTTGGTACCCCTCATCCCTTGACCGCTCATGCCCCGCCCACTCATTCCTCCTCCATGCTGGCCACGCCCCCTCCTGTAGTCCTGCGTACATAGTACATGTAGTTAAGAAGAAAGTGACATCTTTAAAGTGGGACTGCACTACTTGTAGCTACTTGCGCCCTCTATATATAAAAAAAACAATGCCTGATCGGTGACCATTGGTCCCTCATGATCCTCTTTTTCCTTATGTTAATTGAGAGCTGAGTTGACGAGATAACCACCTGTCCAGTGACCTCCCAGGGTCACCTAATCCCTCCTATAAACTAGTACAGATAAGCTTTAATAGAAGCAATCATATTTAATCAAGTAAAACATGATGAGTTGAACTCAATCAAATGTACAGAGATACAAACAAAACTTTGAATCTGTACTTACTGGCTTTCATTTATTAGGGTAAAAAAGGGCGCATGCAGGGATTTCGCTATATCAAGAAAACTCCATGCATGTGGCTTATTATACTCAACTAGTCTAATCACTATTATCATAAAGTAAGTATCAAATTGGCAACGTAAAGAAATTTTTTTTTTTTTGGCGGGGGGGTATTTTTTTCGACCATAATGTCTCAGATCCTCATACAGTAGATAACTTCACACAGGCCCGCGCCCGCCCGCAACCCACACCATCAGTTTGCACTTGTATTGTGCAGCAGTTTGCTGTGAAACCTGTGAAAAAGTGTAGAGTAAAGGTGGAGTAATCGACCATCTCCAGTTTTCGGCCGATTGGTTGGATGCATGGTAAAATCCCTTTAAAATACATCGCATAATAGCATATCACATATCCCAAACCTACCATACCATGCCATAGACAGCAATAACCATCTGATTTGGGTCATTTCTTTAATAAAACTGACATTTGTTGTCATTCCCCAATACAGATGGCAACCCAGAGATCTCGTACCGTGGGGCAGGCTATGTACATATTTTCGTCCACGACATTTTCTCCCCGATTTTCTTTATTTAGATCTAATTTCCTGATTTCTAAATCAGATGTAAATTAGGTCGGTATGTCATTTTATCAAAATTTGATAACTCAATATTAAATGGATAATTTACGGACTTACTTATATGAATTATCCAATTTATATCTCCGAACGTTCATGCACTCGGAACATAGGGCTATATGACCCGGCGGCCAAAATATTTCCGGGTCAACCTACCAAAACATAGCCAAATGGCCAATCAGAGCACTCGTTTCGTGGGAGTTCGTTGGTCAAGCTGGGCTTACTCGTACGTAGCTACAGTATGAGTCAAAATAAACTATACGATTTAACGCGTTTAACGCTAACGTTATAAATAACGCGTTACTAACGGGTCGGTTCTGTAGTTGCCGTTAAATGTCCCCTTGCCGTTAAATGTCCCCTTGCCGTTAAATGTCTCCTTGCCGTTAAATGTCCCCTTGCCGTTAAATGTCCCCTTGCCGTTAAATGTCCCCTTGCCGTTAAATGTCCCATACCCGTTAGGAAGTTCATTAACGGGTATGGAATTTTTCGAGTGCGCCAGGAATGTCCCAAACATTACAGTTGAAAGCAAACAGGGTCTGGTAAATTTCGCAGAGACGTACGTCTCTTTACAAGAAGCTACAACAAGTCGGCAATATCAAAGAATATTTAGAGAGCAGTGTATAGCAGCGTGGGAAACTTGCTCACAACGTGGTCGAATACAATCACGAAGAACGATCTTTTTAACTTAGCGATTTTCCTGTGAATTCACTATTCTTAAACACAAAAATTAAGAAATGTCCATCCAAATGATATATGTCAATTTTCATGACTTACAATTGCTTCATTCCCGAGATATATCCCTCAAAACCTGGTTAATTTTTCAGCGGAAATGCCTCCAATATCTGTCTTTTTATGTCACACTTTTTTTTACCAGCACGTCGCACAGTAGCTAGCGGAACGCTACTTCCGCATAGCGACTGCTTTAGAGAAGGGGAGGAGCTAGCCGAGCGTAATAGGCAAATTGACGTGGGCGGAACGGGAGATCTATGGCGGTGTAGACCGTCAGCGCTACGGCCTCGCTGTTGTTGGTGTTGTTATAATTGTTGTTGCAGTTATAGTTTGACATGTTTTTATTTTGTTGCCCTGCATGCTTTTCAGACGCATTTCGAGCATTGCTCGTGTTTTCAGTTTAGCTTGCTGGTGTTCATTAGGTGGTCTGTTGAAAACAGATCACCTATTGTTTTCGTCAGAATTTTCTTTATTATTATTATTATTCTTTATTTTTATTTATTTCCTACACTTTTTTGTGCCTAGGATAACTCAAGTTCGGTTTCGTCAATTTCATTCAATTTTGGCACAGTCATAGGTCATTGTCATGAGACGTGACAGGAACATTTTCAAGGTCATCACGTCATCGTGACGTCATCCAGGCGCCATTTTGTGAAATCACGTTATCCATCATATCTTCATGATGCATAAGCAAAGGTCATTCATATCCATATCACATATATTTCAGGTAAAGGGTCAAAAGGTCATGTCATCAAAGGTCACATAAAGGTCATGACGCGCGCGTACGTGCGCGTCAAAATTTGAAAATGCTCAAAATCACTTTACTATTAAAGGAGAGTACGAATTAGGTCATTTTAAGCATTTCAAAATTTTCCGTCCGTACGTGTCCACGCGCGCGTTGCGCGCGCTCACAACGCGCGGAAAAGGTCAACTTCATTTTTTTTTACATGATTTGGATTCCTCTAACCGTAAATGACAATTTACATTAATTTCAGTCACTCTTGACCTTTTATAAGGCCGTGAGCGCGCGTCAAAGTTCAAAATCCGCGCGGGCTGCTATGGGCAATATAATGCAAATTTGATCAAAAACATCCCATTTTAAAAATCAAAATATCTCTTCAGAGAGTCAATTGACCCCAACTTTTATATCATGGTTAGAAAAAACATGAGTTGGAGATATGATTTCATGTGTCATTTGACCCTCAATTAACTCATGACGTCATCATAATGGCCTCCGAACTCATAATTTCAATTTTCATATTATGACGTCAGCAGATTTTTTGAAAATTGATTGTATCTCTGTAAATGTTGATCAATTTTCTTTCAAATTTTGATATGTTCTACCTGAGAATATTCTCTACAAATGCAGTAACCACGATATTTCATTTTGACAAAGGCATCATGGCGTATTTTTAAGATTAAAGGAGGCATGTCAATTTTTCACATTTTGCGTGTATTCTCTATGGGACATGACTTTTTCTCAAAACTGGATTCTACATTCTCGTCTTTCGCGAGCAATATCTCCGTCGTTTTATCTTTGTTTACGCTGAGCTTAGAGTATGTTGTAGCTGAGACAATAAGCTATCACAAGTGTGGCCTTTATTTTTCGATCAGATGCCGGGATCATGCTCATATTTCACTTACAAAGTGGGATTTGAGAATTTCATTTTCCGTTTACGTGTAATCTCTATGTGAAATGTTTTGGTATATCGGTAACGCACTTGACTTCCGACCTCGAGGTCCCTGGTTCGAGTCCGGGCGTCTCCAACAATTTTTTTTCTTCACTTTTTTTTCTTTTTGACCTTTCACTGTACCATCTCATTTGAATATTAAAACACGTAGAATCGCAAATAATGTAATAAACAACTATATTTAATTTATTATTACCCTATTATCACTTGATCCATTACTTTTTGCTTGTAATACTTATGGGAGATGACTTTTTCTTAAATCTGGATTCTACTTTCCTGTCTTTTGCGAGCAATATCGCCGTTATTTCCGCTTGTTTTTTGTTGATTTTTGAGTATAATGTAGCTGAGACTATATGCTATCTACATCTCCCTCATTTTTTCAATCAGATGTCAGGATCATGCTCATACTCATCATCGTCATCATCATCGTCATCAATATTATCATCATCATTATCATCATCATCATCAATTTCACCATCATCATCATCATTGTTTACATGTCTATATAACTTCTCCCATTCTCAAATCTATCATAAGACTTAGACAGACCACCTTATTCGTCTTCGTGACGAATTCAAGTCTAGTTATTATTATTATTATTATTATTATTATTTATTTTTATTTCTTCCCGTTTTTTGTGCCCCGGATAACTCAAGTTTGGTTTAGTTAATTTCAATAAATTTCGGCACAATTATAGATCGTTGTCATGAGTCATGACATGAACATTTTCAAGGTCATTAGGTTATCGTGACGTCATCCATGCGCCATTTTGTGAAATCACGTTATCCATCATATCTTCATGATGCATCAGCAATGGTCATTCATATTCATATCACATATACTTTAGGTCAAGGGTCAACAGGTCATGTCATCAAAGGTCACATAAAGGTCATGACGCGCGGGAATGTGCGCGTCAAAATTTAAAATTGCTCAAAATCACTTAACTATTAAACGAGAGTACGAATCAGGTCATTTTAAGCATTTCAACATTTTCAGTCCGTACATGTCCCCGCGCGCGGTGTGCGCGCTCACGGCGCGCGGAAATGGTCAAATTCAAAATGTTTACATGATTTGGATTCCTCTTAACGTAATTGACAATTTATATTAATTTCAGTCACTCTTCATATTTCATTAGGCCGTGAGCGGGCGTCAAAGTTCAAAATCCGCGCGTGCTGCTATGGGCAATATAATGCAAATTTGATCAAAAACATGCCATTTTAAAAATCAAAATAGCTCTTTAGATAGTCCATCGACCCCCGATTTTTATATCATGGTTGGAGAAAGCATGGGTTGGAGATATGATTTCATACTACCCTGACTCGTACAAAGTGTAACAAAGTCAACATATTGACATCTAAACTCAACAAAATGTATTTTGTTGATGACGTCATTTTTGTCTTTGTTTAATTGAGATTATCTCACTTATCGGTCTTCGATCTTCTCCCAGATTTCGATATGTTGTATCTGAGATAATTCTCTATCAGTAATATGTCATTTATTTTTTATTTAGATGACGTCATCATAGTTAAATATTCGATTAAAGGTGACAATGCATAATTTGTCATATTTGCGTGTTATGTCTATGGGAGGTCACTTTTTTCAATACATGAATCTGCATGACA